AAGACAATCAGTCTACTTAAAATGCACACACATTTGAACATACGGGACTAGATCTAGGCCTACATTTACTAAAGTTGGATCTCGGCCCACTCTCATTACGTCGTATTATCAGCTTTATTAGTCATAAAAATGAATAACCACAAACTTTGGTTTTCTTACCGTACAAATGATACTGGATTGGAAGAAAATCACTGCAGAATAGCGGACTATGTACAAGATTATGATGTTGATTCGATAAGAATCCCGTTGTTTGCAACAGGACAGCTGATCACAGCGAAGGTGAAAATGGACTAGAATTATGTCCCGGCATGCTTTGCGATGAAACAACCGTGAAGGCACGTATAGTCTAGGGATAGGCCTAGACCTCTACTTAGACCTATTATGTTAGACCTAACCTACAGATCTAGATCTATAGGTCTAGTAGGCCTAGACTAGACCTAGACCTAGACCTAGTCTATGTAATTTAAAGTAGGCCAAGAGTAACTTTAACATTAGCATTGCCATTAACGTAGGCCTAGGCCTACGCTACGGTTTGCAATTCATCAATCAAATGATAAATCCAAGCCAAGACCAAGTGAGGACTTTTCTAGACCGAAAACTCTGTCTTTAATTTCGTTGTTAGCCTCTTATTTGGGTAGGGTCGGCCCTAGATCTAGGCCTACCCAAATAAAAGGCTATTAAGAGGCTAGCGACGAAATAGAGACATGATTTTCTGTCTAGAAATTAGAATCTAGGACTTTTCTAGCCAGGCTAGATCTAGATCTAGACTTCTACTAGAAATCTAGTAGACCCCTACTAGTCTAGTAGGCTAGTAGCCTATCTATCTAGATCTACTGTGAGTGTGAGTTAGTCTAACACTAACAGTTAGTTTACATTTCAATCAAATTCAACTGCATGTAGAAAGACCTAGGCTAGTTGACATTGGAATAATACAAACGGAATTAGGGTCTACCTGTTCCCTCTTTAAAATGTATTTTTTCAAAACAGTTCGATCTAACAAGTTAGGGCCTACTGTTAGTGTTAGACCCCGGTCCCCTAACAGTTAACGTTAGATCTAGACCCTAGACCTATCTTAATTCTTATCTAATTCAGGCGTAGAAATAGACCTAGAGAGGTCTAGATCTAGTCTAGATTCTAGACCTAGATGATCTAACGTTAGTCCTAACGTTAGTTCCCTAAACTTAAAGTTAGTCCCCCAAACTTTAGCCTTTTAGGGGACTAACGTTAGGACTAACTAGGAGTAGGACTGTAGCTCTAGAATCTAGACTAGATCTAGGTCTATGTCTACTGAATTAGATAAGATAGGGGACTGGGGTCTAACACTATCAGTGACACTAGTAACAGCAACTAAGATGTAGACTCTAGATCTAAATAGACTAGACTAGACCTAGGCTGGGGTCTAACTTCATTAGATCTGGACCTAATCAGAAAAAAATCCGTCTGGTTGGATGAGTCTTTGAACATTTTATTTTTTAGCTCTCTTCGAGAAGAATACGGCGAAGCCAGATGTAGAATCTAGTCTCAGTGGAGCAGATATAGGGTCTAGTCTGTAGCTCTAATAGTTAGAGTCTAGGTCTATTACTTTTAGATCTACACTGTAGACTATCGCCGAATGAAATATAGTCTAGGCCAGGGTCTAGCTCTAGATCTATATTGATTTTTTTTTGTGTGTGTACTGACTGTATGGAGACCTAACTTAGTCCGATTGCAAGACACCCCTTGTGGAATAGGGCCCTATTATGCTAGAGGGTCTCATGACTCTGGATGGTCTCTGCTGCTAATGCTATTTCGTGCAAATTTTAATTATCAGATCGCACTGGGTCTGGGAACTGCATATTACTTCATTTATTCTTCAACTGCAAAACAAAATCCCTAAAACCTTACCAAACGAGTTTTATTAGGTCTAGATCTACTCTCTTAAAAAAAAAAAAAAAAAAAAGCAACAACAACAATAGCAAATGGATCACTCAGTTTTGTTGCTCCTCTTGACTTGAGAAAATAGGAACAGCAACAAAAACAACAAAATAACTCTGATTTTTTAGCGATATTTCCATCAAACTGGATAAAGTGCACGTCATTCGACCGCAAATAATAATTTCACATTTTCACACGCGAGGGCACTTAAGTATCAAAACACATATGCAAATCAACACATCACATCATAGGCGCCGGAACCGGAGGAGGGGGGGGGGGGGAGTGGGGGGCAAAATGCATTTTCACCCCCCCCCCCAAAAAAAAAAGCCCCTTCCCCCAAAAAAAAGGGAAGAGGAAGAAAGAGGAGAAGAGTTGGAAAGAAAATGTATATAACTTCGAAAAATGTTTTATTTTCGCTCGCTCCCTTTGCTTGCTCACAAAATAAAAGATTATAATTATGTGTAATTTATACCTGTGCTCGTAACCAGCTCATTCGCTTCGCTCCCTCGCTTTCGAGTTTCTTTGAAATTTTTTACGCGTCGTATCGCCCCCCTGTGTATGCCACTGAGCCCCCTCCCCTTCAAAAAGGAGCCCCCTGGGATGTTTGCCCCCCCCCCCCCAATCCAGAATTGCTTCCGGCGCGCCTGCATTACACACAGAGAAAAAGTCACTGACGGTGACCACATCTATATGATCTAAGTTCAGTAGTGAAATTCCAAAACAATGTCAACATTTAAAAATCTAGCTTCCATCGTCAATATGGGGGGCTTAGGCACAATATTTCAAGGCCAAAGCATGTGGTGCTTAAGTCTGGTCTTTAAGAACCGGGTCGGCTAAAACGTGCTAGGACTAGTATTAAGGGTTAATGAATGGAGCAGCTATTATATTACGCATGGGGTTTGACATTATGGTCTTCAAACTTAGTAATAGTTTGTATATGTATCACAGGTAAATTGCCGATTGGTCTACACCCAGTTTGTCTAATGCCCGTTTGGTCTCATCCCACATGGTCTAATCCCATTTTGTGTACAACCAGTTTGTCTAATAACCCTTTGGTATAATTGCCACTTAGCCTATTTACCATTTTGTCTAATTGTCAATTACGCTAAGCCCATTTTGTCTAATACACTTGGTCTAACACCATTTAGTCTGTTTGCCAGTTTGTCTAGTCACCAGCTTGTCTAATATTTGATTCGTCTAATCATCATTTTGTCTAATTACCTTTATGTCTAATTCACATTTGGGCTATAGGCCTAGGCCTACCAACTTTGGCTAATATCCAAAAAAGGCAATTTATCACTTTGTCTAATAACCATTTAGGCAAAGTTTCATTTTGTCTAAAGTAATAACCAGTTAGGCTACTTATCAATTAGTCTACTGACCAGTTAGTCTACGTTCCATTTAGTCTAAAGTACATTTGGTCTAATGGCCATTTGGTCTAAACTCTAAGACCATTTGGTCTAATGTGGTCTGATTTCCATTTGGTCTAATGACCATTCAGTCTAACGTCTAATTGGTCTGTCCATTCAATCTAATGCCAATGAATCTAATGATCATTTGGTCTAATGTCCATTTGTTCCAATGCCCGTTTTGTCTAATCCCCATTTAGTCTCATGTCCATTTTGTCTAATTCACATACTATTGTTTGTCGGCTATCAGAACATTTTGCCCTATGTCCTGAAATTTTGTACCTGTCATTTTCGGTGGGCATGGTATAGGCCCTAATCTCCTGGTGTACGTATATTATGTCTATGTAAATTGCCCTATTTCTTTGCCATCATGACATGGTATGACTCACGTGACATGTATCTTTCACTGGTTAATTGCCACTTGTTCTACACCCAGTTTGTCTGATGCCCGTTCTGTCTCATCTCAAATGGTCCAATCCCATTTTTTCTACAACCAGTTCGTCTAAAAACCCTTTGGTCTAATTGCCACTTAGCCTATTTACCATTTCGTCTAATTGTCAATTACGCTAAGCCCATTTTGTCTAATACACTTGGTCTAACACCACTTAGTCTGTTTGCCAGTTTGTCTAGTCACCAGCTTGTCTAATATTTGATTCGTCTAATCATCATTTTGTCTATTATTCATTTTTTTCTCATTACCTTTATGTCTAATTCACATTTGGGCTATACCCACTTTGGCTAATATCCACTTAGGCAACTTATCACTTTGTTTAATAGGCCTAACCATTTAGGCAAAATTTCATTTTGGGGGGTTGAGTGATGCCGAATATCTTCGGCCGCGGAGTAAAGGACCGAGCGGGGAAAGGGTTTGGAGGTTCCAACGTGAAGGATAGACTAAATAAGCGGGGGGGGGGGGGGGGGGGGGGGGGGGGGGGGGGGGGGGGTGTAGGACCTGTTTTTTTTGCTGCCAGTTAACCACAAAAAAATGTTTTCAAACAATATCACAGAGGTACATCCTCATTACTTGAATGAAAACTTTAGGCGATTTGAACCTTTACTTAGAGTATGAACCATATTTCGTTTTTAAATTTTGCGAGCGGGCGAAGCAAGCCAGTTGAAAACTCCATCTTCTAGCTATAAAAAAAATGTTATTTGTCCTCAAAGTACACTCAAGCAATGTAGATAGATATATAGACATATCTGTACTTAGTTTCTCTTGACATAACAGCTGTCATCCACACAACACTTGTTCACCTTAGTTTGTGTTTATTATTGTGTTTATCTATATCTGTACTTAGTTTCTTTTGACATTACAGCTGTCATCCACACAACACTTGTTCACCTTAGTTTGTGTTTATTATTGTGTTTATCTATATCTGTACTTAGTTTCTTTTGACATTACAGCTGTCATCCACACAACACTTGTTCACCTTAGTTTGTGTTTATTTATCATTTTCCATTTGGTGTCTATTTTTGTCATTTCTTGATTGTACAGACTTGATGAAGGCCAGGGGCCGAAAGCTTGTATAAAATAAAGAAAGGAATTAAGCACTACGTCAGTTCCCTTATCTCATTCTTTCGCATATATATATATATATATATATTACCTTGATTTGGAAATACACATTTCTATGTAATTTGATAGAATAACTTAGCAACATAGGCCTACATGTATAATCATCTAATTTTTACAAGCACCTCCATGACTATTAGATTAATGTCTAATTAACACTTTTTTTTGTTTATTGTAGGTTTATCAAGATGGATTTGTATGCATTTATGGAGGAAAGAGGCATGGACAGAAGTGTTATAGAACAGATGAGAAAAGAAAAGGTGAGATCAATTTTTGAAATAGTCGGGGGGGGGGGGGGGGTGTGCCTGCCCCGATGTATTTACTTAGATGAAGAACAAAAAACGACGCACACGTTCTCTAGTACTGGCTTGTATAGTCTATGCTTCTTGTAGACGTTTATTCTTGTCAAAAGCCGTAAGAACTGAAAATGACAAAGTCAAAACATACATATAATAAGTATAACGGTATTTACATTTGGTATCAATCTTTTAGAAATAAACGTTTCAGTGTTCAACGATTACTTCAATGATCGTTCAATTAACTACTTGATGTACGAAATACATGTATAATAAAATAACTTCTTGATGTACAAAATACATGTATAATAAATTGACATTTAACGTGAACAACGTCTAAACTTCCATTTATGTATCTGTACTTGAGGTATTGTTTCTTTGGAATAACTTTCATGCACATTGTATAAATAATAATACTGTTAAGTGACTTCACCAGAATGATGATGACACACACCGAGAATAACAAGTTTGTGGTTTATAATAAGATTAATTTAACACAGCTCAAAATATGAACCACACATCATAATGGAATAAACATATTACAGTGAGGCACTTATATGTAAGCTTACCACTGTGCCTGCTGAGTGCTGACATCAAAGACAGACCGATTTACTTTCAACTTGATGCACATCTTGTTACAGTTACAGCCTTATACTGTTCCCATATCGTTAAACTGATGAAAAGCTCAAGGTTTGATGGCTTCCTTGGCGAGCATTGTTCGTAAATCATCGAACATTTATGTGCATGCTTGGTTTGTTTTTATGAAGCGCTAGCGCCCCAAAACTATGGAGTGCCGACTGTTACAGGGGGGGGGGGGGGGGGCTCTGTCATTACAAGTTGGACACCATGCTTGTAAATGAACTTTCAAAATGGACCCTAAACAAGTAATTAGACTTCATCTCAGAATACCCAAACAAGTATTTTGTCAGGTTTTCCCACTCTAAACAAGTAAATTAGCTGTTGTAAAAGTATACCCTTTTCCCTGATTTTGTCAATTTTGATACCCTTTTCATTGTATGCGCATACATTGTCTGTGAAAAACAACCCCTTTTTAATGTTCTTTTCTGTACGAGCATGGTGTCCGCCTTGTAATGGAAGTGCCCCCCCCCCCCCCCCCCCCCCCCCCCCGGGAATAGTGTCCTAAGGCTTGTATTGGGGGCAGTTATTATCAGAGTGGTATGATATATCTTATCCATGAAATAAACATGAAACATTTGCATTTGTATAGCCAGGGCTCCACACTAACTCTTTTGGTTAAGGGTCCAGATCTAAATCCCAGGCTCCCCTTGTATTGGGCTCTGTATTGAAATTGTTCACTTTTGGGCTCCCAGACCTGAATTTTAGGCGCCCATGTGTTCCGGGCGCCTGCTAATATCAAGCCCTGGTATAGCTAAGGAAATTGTAAAGCATAAAGGTAAAGCTTTTTTGATGTTTAAATTTTATAATATGTTTCTTTGAATACATAGTTTGAATGCATTTCTTGAGACAGTGTGTAGTTATTAACCGGTATAACACATGCAGCAATCAAGTAAATATAAAAGACAGCACAGGACAAATCTTGCCCACCTTTGTCAGTGATGTTCATTTTGCACATGGTTAACATGGAATGCTTCTTTGTTTTGGCCTTTCCTCAATTAGCCTTTTGCTCTTTTTTGCTGAAAAAAATTAGCTCTTTTTCATATGTATTCTCTCACCTTCTTGTAATTTACAGATTGTTGCTTCCATTCTGCTATTGATGGATGAGGATGAGCTCAAGAAGTTTGTGCCACTATTGGGGGATAGACTAGCACTGCGCAAATTTTCAGAAGAAAGCACTCAGAAAGTGTCTACCAGCTCATCAAAGTCTTCCAAAAAAGACTCGCTTCTCTGTAAACTTAGACAGAAATTGGGGATGAAAAGAGATAGGGAGGATGGTGAAAATAGTATTGGGTATGAAGATTCTGCAAGTTGTTCCTATGGGAGAACTCATAAAATGCTAGGGAACAAAAATGCTGAAAGATTGGACAGAAGAATAGATGTCGGATGGATGGACTTTGATCATATGTTAGGCAGATACAAGCAGGTACGTAAGACGAACGGAGGAGGCATCAGATCTCTGTCTGTGTCTAAGCTATGCAAGCCTGCTGAACTGCTACAAATTGTAGAAGAGCTCTTCTTCCCGGATGGCATTTCAGCTAAAGGGGAAAAAGAAAACTTTGAATGCTCCTTAGTGGACTTTCGACAGCAGCCTCTTGAAGGAGATGTTGGACAACTCTACAGCAGATCAAAAATGCCAACCCTTAGGTTTTACCTGCGCACAGTGTCCAAAGTACAGGAGCATGACAAATCTAAGGGCAAGTCAAAGGGCAAGTCAAAGGTCAAGAAGAGGAGGACGGTTCATGTGAGGGATCATGAATATGATACAAGTAGTAGTGAAGCTGATTTGCCTGAAATTTTGCTAAATTCTGGTGAACATTCTACAAGCACCCACTCTTCATCTTCATCTGTATGTTGTCTGGAAGATGACAGTACCAAGTCCAGCAACTTATTTTCGGGAGTGAAGGAACTTGCAGACTCACCAACTATTTCATTTGGGCCATCGCACTCTACTCCAACGCAGGAACAGCTCGATGTCACGATTAGGGACCCAGTTAACTCATTGCCAGCTGAACAGATATTGGCTGAAGTCATTACTGATGAGCCATCAACCTTTGTGCATGAAGAACATCAGCATGAACAACAAGCAGACCAGCAGATTCCTATGGCTGAAGATCAGATGAATGACTTTCCAACTGTATATGTAGAGCTGGTTGAAGGACAGACAAATGACTTTCCAACTAACCAAACACAATTTGAAGTTCTCCTCATTCGAAGAAGTTATTTAATAACAGATATGATGAATGCTTTTTCGGACGAAAGCATACTGAAGGCTAATATTGCTGTCCATATGATTCTCCATGATGGGAATCTAGAGAAGGGCCAGGGTAACGGAGTATATAAGGATGCCATAACCCAATTTTGGGATGAGGTGTATGAACAGATGACAAGTGGAGACTCTTCAAGGATACCTGTCTTGAGACATGATTATGGGGAGAAAGAATGGCAGACACTAGGAGGCTGTTCACACCGCAATGAGATAGCGCGGTCTATCGTTGCACCCCCTTTTTTCTAGCGCGCGCTAGCCCGCGCTATCTCTCGTGGACCACCCCCAAGAGGTGCTCCAGTGTTGGCTCGCCGTGACTCGCTGTTGGGCGGACCGAAACGACGTTGTACCTTCCAAACCGCGGAGATAGCGCGGTCTAGCGCGCGCTATCTCTGCCGTGTGAACAGCCTCTATGACGCATCATCACAAAAGGCTGGTGGGACCACAAGTACTTTCCCATCAGGTTGACACAAGACTTTATGGTTAATGCAATCTGGGGATCCACGTTCTGTAATGGTGACATGGTGGAGGCCTTCCTAAGTTTGCTCCCAGAATCAGAAAAGGAAGTCGTGAAATCAGCACTTAGTAATTTCCCCGAAGACATTGAAGAGCTCATTGATATCCTGAGTGGCTATGATTGTCGAAAGGTACCAACAAACGAAAACTTCAGCTGTCTCCTTTCAGAGTTGGGCCATAAGGAAATCATCCAAAAGCCAATGTACATTGCTGACTGCATGAGACCAGTCCTTCAAAACCTTCAGAATGAGCTGACCCAGGAAAGCTTAAGTGAAATATATGCTTCACTGCATCCGACATCGAAAAAAGTGATTGACAAGTTGGAGTTCTCAAGGGATCTCTCACCCAATGAGCGGGCGGTATCAACGTACCTGAAGAAGTACTTGCGGTCATTAAACCAAGGCATGCTGAGAAGATTCCTTAGGTACTGTACAGGATTAGATATTCTCTGTAACTCAGATATCAGGGTTACATTCTGTTCCTTGGATGGTCTCCAGAGGAGGCCCATTGGCCACACTTGTGGTAACGTGATAGAATTGTCATCCACCTATGATGACTATATAGAGTTTAGACAAGAGTTTAATCACATTCTAGAAAGTGGTCTATGGGTTATGGATGCTCTTTAAATACTTTTCAAGGAAAGGAGCTATACTCAAGAATGTTGTGCAGAATTACAAAATGCTAGGTTGAATGTGGAAGAGAGTCACATAATCTTAAATGAAATATTCTTTTTATTGTTTTACAAAACCTATTACTGGGTAATATTTGTTTTATGATGTTTGAATATGATTGACTTTTTTATCAGACTGCATGGTCATTGTTGATTAACAGGGTATATTCATATCAGACTCCTTTTTAGGGTTATGGTTACAATTATTTTACCTTTGTGATCTGAAAGTTCTTCTGTGCTCGGAGACGAAGTGGGGACTATAATTTTACGTGTGACCTGAGAAAGAAGCAGAGTCGTATGTACGATATGGTAATAAAGGCTTTTGGAATGATATGTATTTTTCAAAGCCTTTGTAGGTTTCATCTTATGGTGATTGAACATACCATTGTTTAAGATCAGCGCTCTAGTTGTGTATTTGGTTTGTGTAGCAGGTTTTGGCTGTAACAGTTTGCCAAAGTTAATGTTGTAGTGGTTATTTTAAAGGAAGGTTTTATTACCATTTAGGGGTCAAAGTTCAAAGATCAATGCTCATTTTTTATTGAAAAGTTTAACATTTTTATACTGGGTTTGACTTTGCACAATTCAACTTTGAAAAATTAATGATTTATATGCCAATGTTTCATATTTTATGTTTCAAGCAGAATGGTATGTATACGATTTGGTAATAAAGGTTTTGGAATGATGTGTATTTTTCGAAAGGTTTCGTAGGTTTGATCTTATGGTGGTTGCACATACCATTGTTTAAAATCAGCATTCTAGTTGTGTATTTGGTTTGTGTTGATGTTTATATTTTTATCTAAGGTTTTGGCTGTAACAGTTTGCCAAAGTTAATGTTATAGTGGTTATTTTAAAGGAAGCTTTTGTTACCATATAGGGGTCAGAGTTAATGTTATAGTGGTTATTTTAAAGGAAGCTTTTGTTACCATATAGGGGTCAAAGTTAAAAGATCAATGCTCATTTTTTAATGAAAAGTTTTACATTTTTATACTGGGTCTAAGTATTACCTCAGAAATGGACTTTAATCTAAGTATCATGGAATGATAAATTACCGGTAAACTTAATTCTTTGATCCAAGATTCAAAGTCAAAGGTCACAGAAGTCAATTTACACCAATAGATATGACACATTTTGGGGTTATTTCAGTATTGGTGTAATCGTTAGGGATGGCAAGGTTCTTGGCAACACATACATGTATGTACGTGCAGGTACTATGTTTTCACAGAAGGCGGAGGCAGCTGTAGTTTTTAATGTACATGTATGACTTTGCACAATTCAACCATAGGAGGGGGGGGGGGGGGGGGTTGTCAATAGGGTATCTTGAATAATCAATGATTTATATGCCAGTGTCTCAGTATCAAAAGAATGATCTAAAATACACAAAAGTCTAATGATCCAGTCATCCATCGTTAAAGTAATGATATTATTTTTTATGTGGTAACTTTGCAAACACACATAAAGAATCATTTCATACAGACTCTTTGCATACTTTACCATCAGAGCGAGGATTTATTTATTATGTTGAGGTCAAAGATTTGAAAATATCTGATATGGCTGAGCAACAGTTAGCTGTGTAGCTACAGTAACATGGTCTATCCACACTGTCCAATTCATTTAGTTTTACTGATATAATGTCATAGAGGTTAAAAGGTATGGTCTTGAAAATATAAATATGGCTAATGGAAAGCAATAAAACACTGGCACAGCATGGTTATAAGACATTTATAAACCCCGAAGAGGATATTTTGTGAACACATGGTCTGACTATTCTTTGTTATTTAATTGTTTGGTTATTTACAGTCAGAAAAAAAACATGAGGGCCTTACATTATATTTACATTGCTCAAAAAGCTTGTAAATAGTTGACACACAGTATGCAAGTTACATGTACATACATTATTGTATAGTCGTATAATATTTCTGTAGCAATTACTGTTCAGGGCGTATATATTTAAGACCAGTGCTTTTAAAGGAAAATTAGAAGCAGCAACACTCATATAATTAAAGGAAATGATTCATCCTCAACAAGTCATTATTACCATCTTTTAGTGTCCTTTGTTGTTTCAGTAGGGTTGTACCAACCATTTCCCACAATATTAGTGTAAGCAATAAAATGTGTTCATAAAACATCTACATGTAGTTTATACAGTAGAAACTCGGTATAAAGAGATCTGATATAACAAAACTCCTGATATAAAGAGGTAAAATCCGGTCCCAGCTCTCTATAACTTATTGTTTAATAAACCTGCTGTATAAACAAGATTACTGCTATAACAAGGTACATATATTTTTGATGGTCCCAAGCACCTCGTTATACTGAGTTTCCACTGTATACACATGTATTTAAAGCAGAAAAATAAAAAACAATTAATTAATAATATTTCTGCTGGACTGTGTTATATAAAGTTTGGGTGAGATATGCGGACTCAAATATAAGCATATGTACATGAACTTGCCACAATAATCAAAACACTTCAAATAAAACTTGTTTTCGTTTTCGTTCAGCTTGTTATGTCATTAACTGTCGTTCATATTTAACACCGAATAAGCAAGAACACTCCTGTCTCAGTAAAGTATATTTTTATTGTAAGACAGTACTAGCCTTTGAAAGAAATTAATTCAAGAACTCTGGATAATGAACGAATAGCATTACCGTAAAAACGTTAGCATCAGTTTGGCATTGTGATATGATATCACTTTTTATCAAAGTTATTATAAAGTCCTTTATACAAATATAGGAACACTTATTGCTACCCTCTGTTATGAAGAAATAGAAATATGGATAATACTAAACACAACAAAAATAGTTTACCCCCCCCCCCCCCAAATGAAAGTAGCATAACTTTTGAACGGGTTGGTGTTTAGTAACAAAATTTGCAGATAAAAGCATGTGTGCAAAAATGAGCATGATTTTAATTGTAACGCCTGAATGGTCACACATGAAACAAAAAATGTCACTTTTTTAAAATCACATATGAATCCATTTTTAGGATAAAAACTGAACAAATAATGGGTAAAACCTTACTTGGATGGATGTGTATTAGTGTCTTTTTGTTATGTTATCAATTATCACACTCTATCCTACTAATCTGGGCACTTTTTACGATCCGATTGCAAAATTGACCTTTTTTGGCGAAAAATGCACTTCCCAATATTTTCACGAAAATCAAGCTTAACCCCCAAAAGGCGTTAAAAAGAGTTGTTTTTCTTGAAAAATATGTCCATCCATGCGCAAAACTAATGGTCAGATGAATAGGAGTCTGAAGATTGGTATAAAAGCAAAAAATTTATTTTTATTGTACACGAGAACCATAATTTACATAATTTTTGGTACATATGGTGCTCATAAAAATACCCTTGTGACTTTTGAAAAGTGACATTTTTTCTTGACCTTTGTTCATTCATGAATATAGGATTATGCTGATTTTTACACATACGATAACAATATAGTTGATTAATATCACCTGCAAATTTTGTTACTTGACACCTCCCAGTTAAAAAGTTATGTCACTTTCCTTAGGGGGTAAAAACATTTTTGTTGTGTTCATATGCAGATCATTTTAAGCAATGTGGTGAATATGTGAATTAAAAAAAAACGGATCAGACGCTTCAGTCTTCTAGTCTTCTTTGAAGAGAGGAAAGATGTCATTGTGGGGAAAGGTATGAATAAGTCTTGGTTGCTGATCCAAGCATTGTAGAAAAATATCTACTTGTGTTTTTCATTTAATATCAAAATACACATGCAATTAATGCAAAATACTCTGATTAAATCATCCTCAGCAAGTGCATTCTCAAAGTATGATATAGGTTCAGTCCTTCTTCGCTATTCTGCGGTACAGGTAGTTGTTCTTCAGTCATCAGGATCGAGCAAAGGTCAAATACGTCTCTGTCACAAGGGTACTGACTTTTGAAAGTACATTCTTCCTCGCATACTTCAACCTCATCGTTTTCCAACGGCACAAGAAAATCTTGTGTTCCATACACCTGGGGTGTCCTGTACATCACGTTGGGGCGACCAAATGGTCCACACTGGTTCCTTGATTTGCTGATTCTATGAGCGTTCCATTCCTTAGCAACCTTGTCCAGTTCTTCCTGTTCCATATACAAAGAAGAAGAAAATAAATATTATTATTATACATTTGATAAAAATATACTTTTTTCATTTCTTTAAGGATTTATCGCTAACATATTTTAAGAGATTTCAGCTGACAAGTATTCAGTTATGGAGTGGGTTATCCATGGTGAAGTACTGAGAAAATATCAAAACCCTCCAATGGCGTAGCTAGGATTTCATTTCAGGGGGGCGGTAAGGATGAGCACGCGAAGCGTAAAAATTACATACCGCGCGCGCCCTAGGGGGGAGGGTGCAGGGAGGGGGGTTAATTCTCGCGTTTTTAAATTAAGCAACGTAATGATAATAATAATGATAATAATCATAATCACAATAATAATAATAATAATAATAATGATAACAACAACTGGATTTTATAGCGTCTTTTCCAGAGGATACAAGGCGCTATTTTCCAGCTATCCGGTGACATAAGATTGATTGTGATTGGTTTAAAAAGGGGCCCTTTTCAAATTTTATGTTTAGTGCACAATGTTGGTAAAAGTTGAGCCATGAAAAATAAATTTATTTTATTTTGTTATTTTGGGATGAAAGCAGAACATACCCCCATCCAAATTAAAGGCTTAAGTGAGCTATTGGGATCGCTCGACCTCGACCAACACTTCTAGAGCTGGTTAACAGCATGAACACATATCAATTTACCTGAATTAGATTCATGAAACAAAACTGCAGCAGTGACTTGTCCAGGTGATCTCCAGTAAAGTGACCTTGATCTTTCACTTGTCCAAACATGTTCAGCCAGAACTGTATAGAGTGCTTTCTAAGGACGCCCCACCAACTCTCTATTCTTTGGTTATGCTGGCTCGTTCCTTGCATAAAACTCTTTTCAGACGCAAGTGGGTCGTCACCATTTCTGCGCAGAAATTGTTGCATTTGGCGGACAGTGTTATTCTCTGTTCCAAAATCTGATCGAATGACACGAGGACATCCCATCTCTTTCCTAACCGTTTGCATGTAGTATCCAGCTATTACTCTGGGATTATTGTTTGTCGTGTAAGCTTCTAGCCAAACTACCTTCCTTGAATAGCCATCTACACATCCATTGATGCAGATTCCAAAAGGTTTTAATTTGTCATAGGAGTCTAGATGCCATATAAAGTTTGGTCCCCGTCCTCGATATAAACGCCTTCGTAGCCTTCTACGTGATCGGTATTCAAGACCTATTGGGTCTAACACTCCGAGTAGATGCCGAACAGTTTCTTTGTCAATGTTGATACCATTTTGGATGCATTTCAGGTGCATCCATCGATAACCATGTAAGCACCCTGAACTCTGAAGTTCCTGTAGAATAAAGCAAGCTACATCTAACTCATCAGTATGGTTTTTACGACGATAAAGACCAAGGTCTCGCAACTTTCTGTTCAATGTTCGTTTGCTTATCGCTACATTGTGATTGAATAAAAGAGAAGCAATGATTTCGTTGTAATTATATCCTAAATTAAAGTAATTCCGAAGCAAGCCTTCACATTCCATTGCCACAAGAAGGTCCTGTTCCAAAGGATCGTGAGATACATTGAAAACGTAAAAGGGTATAGCTATAATGCAGCTCCAGATGTCCTGTCCTGCACGCTTGACCGGCCATCAGTTATGTATTTGTAACAACGTGATTTTCTATTATAGAACGTAACATGCAGACTACGGTAATCTGTAATAACAGATTATAATCTGTTTAAACAGATTAGAAGAAATATCGTAATCTGTTATAACAGATTAGTAGAAATACCGTAATCTGTTTAAACAGATTATAATCTGTTTAAACAGATTAGTTGAAGTACTGTAATCTGTTTAAACAGATTAGTAGAAATACCGTAATCTGTTTAAACAGATTAGTAGAAATACCGTAATCTGTTTAAACAGATTATAATCTGTTTAAACAGATTAGAAGAAATATCGTAATCTGTTTAAACAGATTAGTAGAAATACCGTAATCTGTTTAAACAGATTAGTAGAAATACCGTAATCTGTTTAAACAGATTATAATCTGTTTAAACAGATTAGAAGAAATATCGTAATCTGTTTAAACAGATTAGTAGAAAGTGTGTTTTTTTTTCTTCGTGGCACTAATGGTCTTTCGTAATTTTTACTATCTATAAATATCATATATTTTATCAAAATTATGATATGATTTAATAACTGTTCCTTCCCTATGTTAAACTCAACTACCCCTACATGGATACCTTTCCAATTTATATTTGTAATCTCTACTAAATTAAATAAATTCCCACACTCTTCCCAAATTGGTTTTACTTTCTCACAAAGACAAAATAAATGCTCATAAGTTTCTTCATATTTACCACAAAAAGAACATAAATTACTATCAACCATTTTAAATGTATATAAATGTAATTTAGTATATATAATATTATAAAGCATTTTAAATTGAAATTCTCTAAGCTTACTATTCAATGTGCACTTTCTAAGTCTTAAAAATATTAGTTGTATATCTTTTCCATGAATATTATAAGTCTGTTCTAAATGTCGTTCTGCATACGATTTTTCTACTCTCTTATTTAATAAAAACGCGTATATAATTTTTGAGGTTATTTGATCTAACATATATACCTTTTCAAACATAATAATATCCATATCTAATTCCCTATCTATATTTGAGTGAGTATTTTTATTTAAAAATTGTTTCCATGAAGACGGGATGCCAAGAAAAATATGTTGTATTTTACTAATTTCTAAACTATTTAAACCTTTTCTTTGAAATTCCTCATTAGATTTTATATTACCTTCCTTATCAACAATATGATGCAACTTATACACATTTTTGTTAAATAATCCCTCATTGTCATAGCTGCTTTCTCAATGTCTCTCGCTTTCTCAATGTCTCTCGCAAGAGGGCGATAAACACAAACGACTTCGCACAGTGTAGTAAAGTATGGTAATGATTGACATTATCCCTTTTTGTTTCGGAACAACTTATAAAACTTAAAATTTATTGTTCTCGCTATCCATATATCATGTTCTTTATGAAATACAAAACACATTACTGGACAATCGAAACTATTAATCGTTATAGGATAATAACATGTTTGTTTTTGTTGTACCTCCAAAATGATGGGCGTTGCATAATTATAACTAGTTCTTCTTATCATTCCTTTTGAAACCCATATTATTTGTTTTTATTTACAGAAAAGGAAACTCATTTAAATTAATCATGATATTATAATATTATAAATGAAGCGATTTTAATCTCATTTTAATACTACCGGTGTTTTAAACATTCTATCCACATTTTTACAATATAGAGCAGAATGATGTTACCTTTTTGCGAAGCAATTGTTAATTCGTTATTGTATCAGCAACTTAAATTTGTGGAGAGTATTCCAGATGGTAATAATGTTTTGGTTTGGTTTGGTGCCGCTCAAGCCTCGAAACCCATACCCATTATTAGGGGTCATTTTTCAGAACTTTCTGGTGTTTTTCAAATTTTTCAAATTTTGAAAAAACGGACCCATTTTTAATGTTTTTGTTAAAAAAAGTGGGACCCATGTTTAGGAATTTTGTGTGTGAAAGAGTTACCCATTAGAGCGGCACACCCAGTATGTCTTAATAAGTGAGTACCCCCCTCCCCCTGGAACCAAATCATGCTGAATAGGTTTGCTAAGTGTAGGAAACTTACAATATGACTTACGATATTCATTCACTTAAACACAGCTAAAACAAAAAACAAAAAAATTGTTCAATGAATAATTATATAGTTCAAAATAATTTCCAATATGTAAATTATTTGCAGAGATGTAAGAACTTTTAGTACAATCATACTGCATTCAGTATCATTGTGTATATCAAATGCGTTTACATTTACGATGTGATACGATGTTTATCCTGTTCCTTATTGCACGTGTGAGAGACAGTGACGAAAAACACCGCATGCTACAACGAAACAATCAATTGAACATGCTAGGCTGTTCAAACAGTTTTCTTCGTAAATACTGAAAGTTCGTGATTTATTTGAAGGTAGACAACTGTCATCGACTAGGTAAACAAAATGTGACACAGATGTAGTCCATATCATGATGATTAAAATGCTGAAAATATCTGAAATACGTATGGATAATCTTTTCTCGTACATGTCAAGGTCAAGGATAAACATTAAATTAAAGCAATTCCTCGTTGAACTACTTGGTATTCTTTAAAGGTTCACTCAATGTGTTATATACACATGGTGTCGCAGCCTATTATCAGTAGAGACTCGAGAGCTACTTTCCACGAATGTCGTGAAATACATTCAAATATATTAACATTTAAAAATAATCGTACAAGTATTTACTATCGGCATTATTCTTTAAAAATAACATACATTGAAATAGGTAATAGGAAATATGGACAAGTATAACAGAAGTACAGACAATACATACAGAAAGGTTTGGCAAAAATTAAGATTTTATTTTCAACTTTACATGTAACGTTAACAACCTTGCATTAAAAAACAATTAAAAAAACAAGGACGGATATGAACTGAAATGATGTTAAGTAAACCTGCTTCCTTGTATTAAGTTGCATTGAGTGAAGGCATTAATAAAACAAAGAACCAAAGGAGGAACTGAAAGACGTTGTCATGGTGATAAATTAGAGGGGCAATCGATGTATTTTTTTCCAAACTATCTCTTTGTTGACCTCTTGCTAAATTTCTATGTCAGTATATGCCAGTTATCTTAATATCTTTAGTGTTCTTTACATTATATCACTAATCAGACATTAAAGGTAAAGACCAGTATTGGAAACGCCCCAATTTCAAAAAATGAAATGGAAGCTCTCATTACCAATCATGTGAAAGAATATGTTTTGACTAATACATGATGATAAAAAATTTGCCGGGAAACCGCCTACTAATTCATATATTTGGTAAATTTGTTTCTCTCATAGTCTGTGAGAGATATAGGGTAGTCCCATAAACATCTTTCTGTGTATAGTGCTTGTAACTTTACGAAGAATGGGCCAAATTTCTTATCATTTTGATGATTCCAGAACCTTACAGATGCTAGATGCTAGATGATTAACCTTTTCTGATCGATTCCACAACGTTTCTTTCACAATGCAATCGCATGACCATAACTGGTCTTTACCTTTAATAACGATGACAAGCGATATATTCATTTCTGAACTAATTGTTTCCTACTTATTTCCGCCTCGAATTTATCCAAGCAAGCAAACAAACAACAGTTTTCAGGAGCTCTCTTTGTCTAAATTTGATGCGGGGAGGTTGGCACATATTTTTGGTGTACATAAACTTAGAGGGAGAGGGCTTGTGCCCACGCATCCGTCACTGAATACGATATGGAAAGAGAACAAAAGAACACTGGTCTTGCCTGATGAAGTGCGAATTACAGATGCTAATGATAACGAGGTGTCAGACGGGGTCTACCATCTTCTTTTCATGTGTCCTCCGTAGTTTTCATTCTCTTCCTTTTTTTGCCATTTGCAGGGGGGAAGGGGTCCCTGTGCCCTCCTTAGCTACGCCCCTAGTCTTAACATTACACACACCAAAATCAGTAATTCTTGTTGAACAATGTAGCATCCAGGTCCTGATCAAGCCATTCTTGCAGTTTCCTCAGGTTGTAGCCAAATAGCTGATAGTCTAGGTGATAGAGCTCCGATAGCCGCATGAGCAGAAGGGGGTCCAGGGCACTGAGGACTTCACGGGCGATGTCCTCCGAATTGGACCGACTCGATGGGAACGGGAAGACGTCCTTACTAAGACCGACCCGACGCATGATCTCGTGGGCGTCATTCGCTATCGTCTCGTAGTGTCCGATGAAATCGTAATCAACCTAGAAAAATTGATGAAAGGGATCAAAGAAATGTTGGCCCATAAATATGTGCACAATGTATTACATCATTGTAATCAATTCCTCTCTTACTTATAGCCAGCCAGATTTTCCAAAATAGGGGGAGGGGGGGGGGGGGGACACTTGTCAAGTAAAATTAACGAAAAATGCGAGATTTACATTTACGGGCGGCTGGCCTTTCATACTGAAGAAAAGCGGATGGAAAGGGAAAGTTGGAATTAAGATTTATCATTTAACATGGCCTGTTCCACGCTGTCAGCTAATTTTCCGACCCCTACTCGCTAAAATCGAGACAGTGACTTCAACTAAATCCATATAGCAATACATCACTTTAAAAGATGATTAATTCTTAGGGCTGAGGGAAGATAACACATCGAACAAGGGAAATTAAAAGTTTTTGAAGCCATCCACCCAATGGCATATCATAGGTTTTCGCAAGAAGTCGAGGATTGAACCCTGACATTATTACAATATAATGACAATATTACCTGGCACGGCTGACATCGAGAATGGTAGGTCTCCCAATGCATGTCGTTTTTAATGGCTACAGGTCCGTTGATCAGGTACCGGGCAAATTCATCGAAAGATATCCTCAACCTACGAGCTTCTTTCAGTCGTGAAAACAAGTCGGGTCCTGATAATTCGCCGTCATCATCATTGAGTTCGTCGCGTCGACAAAGCTTGAAGTCGCTCATGTTCTTACCAGAACGACGGGCAATGTCGCATCCGAAGCGCGTTAAATAGTTGAGTTGATCACGGTCGTTCGTTCTGACGAATTTGTCGTACCATCCGGAGACTATCCGGAGAATGGGTTCACGGACGAACATGATCTAATGTCAAGACAGAAAATCTAGACGTTTGAGTGGCATACCCTGGCCTGACATAACCAGGGGTGGGTAAAATGTGCCCCGAAGACGTATTGCTGGTATGTTTTTGACAATCTTTTATCTTTTGGGGTGGGCTGCAGCCATTGAGGGGGTAATATATAAATACTACTCCGATGTGGAAATGAATTTTTTACTGATTGTTCAAAGAAACCTTTTTTTCTTCCAAGTTCAAGTTTATTTCACATTTCACAAATAAAAATAATTTACATAATTGACAAAAATAGAACACAATATGAAATATACTAAAAGTGTCACATTATATAATTAATTCTTTGAAAAGACGTCGAAATTAATTGTAATGAATAGAAGGTTATACAGAGTGAAATGTGAGGAACCTATTAAAAAGCTTAGCTTGTAGATTATAGGTTCCCATAAATAAAACTAACATTTGGTTGAAGTAGTTGTAATGGTAGAGGACGTAACAGTAATAATAGGTGGGCAAGAAGCCTTAACATAAGATGATTATACAACGTGAAACAAGCAAAAATAGCAAATACAGCAAACAAATTAATTTGTTACCAAAGAAATGAGACAAAAGTCACTTTCCAGCTCAGAAGAGCATATGGATAAATAAGAAGGGACATTTTTACCGCATTGCAAATGATCAACGTCATACAGAAGCAGGATGAGGTAACTATACGGCTTTGCAAATGTGTCCAACTTCACAAAGGGTGAAATTATGTCAATCAGGCGACAGGGGAATCAATCTCGGGTGGGGTACCGGGGCAGTTGCCCACCCCCACCTATGATGAACAAGGTGCCCTGTGCATCAAGTGTATTTTTTTTACTCCCGATCATTCCAACGCCCCCCCCCCCCCTCTCCCTTCCAAATTCTGAGGAAGGATCGACGTATCTATTGACTCAATATTGTCAAAGGGTGAAACGGGAGAATCTATTCAGGGATATAATAATGATAATAATAATAATACTGTGTTCTTTTATGGCGCATTTCATGTCGGTTAACATTTCAATGCGCTTTACAATATACATGAATTACACAAAATATAACAAGATCATAAAATGAAGATGAGTAAACAGAAGCATATATAGAAAACAATCAACTTCTTACAAAGAGAACATTACCACATTACTTATCCTTTAGTATATAGATAAGCTAATTTGAAAAGATGAGTTTTGAGTTTGGAAATGAATGTTTCAGTATTGGATATACAACGTGAGAGTTGGGGAGAGAATTCCATAAAAATGGCTATATGACTGAAAGCCCCATCACCTTTGTTCTGCCTCTCTTTGCTACGAAGAGGTCTTGAGATGTAGAACGAAAGGACTTTGGTGGAACATATTATAGACATCGCGTCGGATGGGGTTACCGGAACAGAAGAAGACCCTAACCAAGCATTGAGTAAATGTACTTCCGATCATTTGATCACCACCCCCCCCCCCCCCCTTTCCCGATGAAGGATCGACGCCTTAAGTACTTAGGTTGCTGAGGGTATAGCTACTTGGAACCATGATCCACCTTGCAGTCGAGACGAAAACAAACACAATCTCAATTGAAAATACCTGACATTTGCCCGCCCCCACATGTGTGGCCAATTTCGAGTTTCGTGATTCTTGGCCAAATTCTCTAGGATCTTTTTAATTATATGACATTTCTCTTTTCATGAAAAAATCTTGGGATTCAACGTTTTTAAAAGGAAATGATGTAAAGAAAAGACGACCATTATTACTATTTGTGAGTGACAGGAAGCTTTTGCACGTAGAGCGATCACACGGTTATTCAAGTGATTCAAAGAATTGATTTCAGAGCCGTTCAAAAGGTTACCTGATCCCAAATTAAGCGATGTGTATCAGAAAACTTAAAAATACATTTTCTGAAAGGGGGAATCCATCATGATTTGAACTACACTTAATAAGCTTTTTGTTTTATATTACCAGCTCCCTCAAAATATGGAAATACAAGTTAAAACAATTAGGCAACGTATGGATGAGCTAGCAATGGATACTGCATTATTGTTTTCATTCGTGTTTTAATAATTTAAAAAAATTTAACCAGTATTATTACTTATTTGATAATTGATGTTTACTTTCTCATATGATATTAATATTTCAAATGCATTTGTATTAATGATACGTTTTTAATTTATGATGGTGAACCCCTATGGACATCTGCTTTTGCAGTAGCGATGTTCGATCCCACGCGAGGAAAAATCAACGAATGCATGAATGATGAATGAATAAATTAATGAATGACTGACTGAATGAATGAATGAATGAATGAATTAATTAATTAATGAATGAATTAATTAATTAATGAATAAATGAATGAATAAATGAATAAATGAATGAATGCATGAATTAATGAATTAATGAATAAATGAATAAATGAATGAATGACTGAATGAACGAATGCATGAATGAATGAATTAATGAATAAATGAATGAATGATTGAATGAATAAATGAATATAAACAAAAAGTTTATCCCGTATTTAAAACAGAACTTCATTGGATTTGCATACCGCTTGCATACATGTATGTCTATTTCTCATCTGTTTATCCTGCTCTTTTCTCATCCTTGGAATGTCTTTGCCAAATCAAAATCTGACGAGGACGATATGAAATGACCTTGGCAATGATCAAGAGAAACCCTCACCTTAGTATAATGCTTCAGTCTGTAGTCTCTCTCCGCTTTGGTGTAAGTGATAAGACGTTTGATCTTATGACTACTCGGCGTATTGGCAGCTTCTTCGAGGACTTGACGCCAAGTGATAGATGCTACTTTACGAATCTACCCCCCCCCCCCCAAAAAAAAGAGAGGAAAAGAACAACAATTTGGAAGTTAGTGGTGGAAGAGTTTCGAGCACGAACGTTAGAATAAACTTCAATAATGGTACTAGATTGGGCACATCCGACTCCATTGTTGTAATATCATATCATTTTTCTGTCGTGTAGTTCTGTATTTATTCTGTATTTACCCCAAAACAAAGAATAAAAAACGTTTTTTAACAAAGTATTGGTTAGAGTACGTAAATCTTGCCCTCATAATTGATTACACCAGGGCAAACCGAAACTCGGCATCTTTCGTGCCCAATCGGACATATAACACTCCAAAGTTTGTCAGATGGCCCCATACAAAGAAAATGGCATGAAGAGGGCGGGAGATGGGTTTGAGGGAACAACAGGAGAGGACAATGCAACTTGGCAGAATAAATGACCAGTCAACAGCCTCCAATCACCTTGGTCTTTTGCATTTCATCCACTAAAAATGCCCGGTGCCACCCTCTCCCCATGACGATGGTGCCCCCTCAAAGCAAGGCTAGTTCTAGCTAGAACTAGCTATAGCAATGATCCAGAGTGATACAGAACGACATTACCATGGACACACACACATATTCAAAAGTGCAAAGACTGTTGACTCTAACAAAGGATAAGAGATTGAAAATACCTGACAAAAGATGAGATGATGGTTATCATCAACAAGGAGATGACCGGGGATAGGAGGCTTGGCGCCATAGGCGTTCACTTCAAGTGAGGTGCATACGTTGGCTACAACGTTCCTTCGTAATGACTGGGCTTCATCGAAGGGGAATATGGGTTTGTCCATCGGGTACATCATCGCATGGTAATTCATCCGGATCAACTTTGCCTGCTGCTGGCGAAGTTTCTGCAAGAACAAAATAGTATCATTTATTTATTTATTTATTTATTTATTTAAAAATATTTAAACAGGATGACAATATCAACCAAGGCTGTTTTTCATATTGGTCCTGTATATACATACATGGTAAAATACAAACAATGAAATACAAAATATCAATGAAATACAAATACCATTGAAATATGCAAAATATGAATAGATTACATGGATATTAAATAACATAACATTTCATAAAATAACCAGCAACTAGACACATGGATTTACATTCAAAGATTTACCCAGAATTGCAAAAAGAATGATTTGAAACAAAATAAGAAAAAACAAACAAACTTGTATTTATTAAAGTGGGTAAAAAGATATATACACACATCCATGGAGGTATTGGTTATTTCGAACATTAATGAAAGTACAATATTTTATAAAGGTATTTAAATGAAGAAATAGATATAGAATTCTGTAAGTTAATAGGTAATGAGTTCCAGATAACTCCTCCTGAGTACATAAGACTTTTCTTAAAGCATTCTAGATTAGGTTTTGGTAATATTACATTTGTTTTGTCAGCGGCTCTAGTATTTAAGTTATGTCTATCGCAGACCATTTCTATAGCATTACACAGATGTGTTCGTGCAATACCATGTACAGATTTATACATTAAAACAGCTAAAAAATAATTTCTCCTTTTGTCAAATGATTACCATTTCATAGTATAGAGGCTGAATCTTTCCATCCACTCCTCCAATAAAATATTTCAAGTGATTATAATTTACGAATGACTTGAACCATATGCATACTTTTTTACGCTCAGACTCCTTCTTCCTTATTTCAGACTCTTTTTGTTATACCGTGTGAGTAAAAAAAAGTTTACACCTCGAAAATTGCTAATTATTTTTAAAATCATCTATGAACAGTAAATTATTATACATCTTATGAAAGAGTGTTTTATCCCAAATCATTTGGTACCATTTTTGTGTGATATGTGTTCACGCTTGGATGAACAAGAGGCATTGTTTGCGAGAGTGCAAAAATCGACTTGCGCCAAAGTGATGCTTTCAGTATGTACAGTATTATGTTGGGATTAGCGGAGTGAGAGAATGGATTGAATGTATCAAATGAATTGCATTGCATATGTTTTTTCAAAGGGCAAAGTCACACACACACACACACACACGCACAAATGTTCGTTGATATTTGATATATGTTGCATGATTAATTTTGTTAGGGGGTGTTATTTGGATCTGCAAAGACCGAATTAATACCCAAATCCAAATTGTTTTATTCAAACATCACATAGGCAACTTTGGCGCAATTCGATTTTTGCACTCTTGCAAACAATGTCTCCTGTTCATCCAAGCGTAAACACATACCACACAAAATGGTACCAAATGATTTGGGATAAAACACTCTTTCATAACACATATAACAGTTTAATGTTCATCGATGATTTTTTTTTAACAATTAGCAATTTTCTAGGTGTAAACTTTTTTTTGACTCACACTGTAGTCCTGAAAACAAACGAACGAACTGAATTAATTTATTTTTTATTCATTTTTAACACTATCATTAAAAGTTAATCGGAGGTGAAATGTCAGGAGGGCGCTTGTCCGGGGAATACATTTGTAGCTTTCCACGTGCGGAAGTCTAGCATGCCGAAAGGGGAGATTATTTTGATTATGGACTGCTTTCCGGAGTGTAGCTACCCGGAGGTAGTTGTCCGTGTGAAATTGCCTGGGGTAAGTGTTTGAGGGAGGGGTGATAGAATCTTTCCATTCATAGAATTTGATCACATGATGAGCTATGTTCGTGATGTTTGTCAAAGAAGAGACTCTCAAGCATCGCACGTTCATCACGTTACACGTACAACAAAATTCCGTTATTCCTATCTTATTCATCACCTAAATGAAGTTCAAGTTAAGTCATACTACTATACACACACACACACACACACACACACACACACACCAAGTAGTCAAGTCGTAATGATCAATTTGAAGCAGGCTCCAGATTTCTGAATGGTTTCCATGGAACGGCGAAATGGAATTCATGTTAAACAATCTTCACCTGATAAGACTATAAACAAATACGAACTACAAGAGCACTATTTACTCAACCCACATTGGCAACCGTTTCTTGTCGTTATAACCACGCTCTTTGCTTAAGAATTATGCCAATTATTTTTTCCAGACGAAATGACGTGCCTACGAAAATTATAAAAGAACTTGTACACGGGGGAGATTACTCATAACATACGAACAAAATACCGGCGATCTGACAAAGTCATCAGGATACGCACTTGAAGGACAAAAGCAGTTTACTGACCGGTAAGTGAATTCTGATAACATTATCTGTAGTCTTTTGCTGGTTCTATTCATGTTTTAGGTAAAATAAATGTTCAAAATCATGAAATGATGTACGCTGAAGGTAGAATGATAAACACGGTAACACTAATGTGCTAACCGAATATTACAAAGAGTACAAATTCATTTTATCACTTGTTTTCACAGAAATAACTCTCGTTCTGCAAGTCATCATCGTCCCCTTGGCGAAGTTTACAAAAAAACGTGTTCCACTACAGCGTAGTTCACAAAACAATGTTATTACAACATTACTCATGTCATTCAGGTGTCTTAACAATCGACGGCATAACTGGATACGTAAGATCATTTTGTTCATTACAAAAGGGATGAAGGAATGAAAAGAGGCACGTAAATGTCACTGAATTTTCACTCTACAACCCCCCGTAGCTCATAAGGGGGGATTTGAAGGGGGCTACGGCACAAGGCCCTCCTCAAAACAAAACAAAATGTTAAATGCGCCTGCTCATGTCACTCTATCTGTTTGTATTTCATGTCGTTTACTCAGATGTGTTTTCATTTTCATTGCAAATGTGCACACCATCCATAGCAATGAAAAGGAAACGTCTAACACAATTTTCCTGCAAGGTCTGATTTATTGTTGCCACAGCAACGAAATGAGAGGGAATCTTGTATATCCATCAAAACTTATACCCACAAGTGTGTGTGTGTGTGTGCGTGTGCGCGTGTGCGTGAGTGTGACTGTGTGTGTGCGTATTTTGTAAATGGTGTGAAATGATACTTGATTTCTGATCTATTGCCTACATGCTTAGTTTTTCATTTGTCGATGAAAGATATCATTCAAATGCACAGTGCATTTCTTTCGAGGCACCTGTAAAATTATGGATTTTCAGTGACTGATCCCTCAGAAACTCGTGCTAAGCCAGTCACAGATAATTTATGATTTCAACCGAAGCCTGTCAGTGCATTGTAAATTAGATTTTTTTTTTTTTTTTTTTTTAATAATTTTTTATTTTGTCTTCAAATTTTATTTGGAAACTTTCCATATTTGATCAATATCGTGTACTATTGGCATATGGGCTATATGGTGGAGCGGTGAACAGCGTTAGTGTATTACGTGGATTTAATATGCATAGGAATACAGGTACATTATAAGGTGAAATAATTAATTAAAGAGCGATGATAAATCAATTATTTGAAGTTGATTGATTTGGCAGGCTTCGATATAATACTCAATCTATCAAACAATACGAAATTAAGCTCCGGGTACTTGTCGGTTTAATATGAGCAGATGATCATTACAGGCTTCGATATTCTATCAAATCAGAAGCTATCTAGACAGTTGTTCAACAGGTATCCCCCTCACACACACACACACACACACACGCACACACACCGTCACAATTCAACAACTATCTCATTGTACACAAGTTTCATATATTATGCAACCTTCAAACTGCAGTCTCCTGTTTTATCTAAAAAATATTAACGTTTGGTTCGTAGCTTTGTAGAAACTAGATAAATTAATTCATGGATACATCAATTGAAAGATAGAACACATTATTGCTATAAACATTTTTTTTTAAATTAAATAAAAATGATAATCAATTACATTACATTCAACATATCGCCAGCTTTTAAGACGATGTGGTTGTTTCTAATTATGAGCTACCCTTCATATTTTGCATTTCAGAAAAATAAAGCATCCGGTAGGCCTATTAGTGAATAATCAAAATATTCAAGCATCCCCATGTTCCTTTGATCCATAAAAATGAAACGTGTTTTTTTTAATCTATCATACCAACGCATCTTTGTAGTCGATTTAGGTAGCATCTTTTGACAGGAGATACTCTAATTCGAAATAATTGAATTATATGTGCCCATGAGTCCAGGAAACTAAAAAAAAAAAAACATAAATGGTTAGATTATGATGACCCATTCACGTATGATGAAGTCTCCTTAAGCCGGTTATAATTTTGTCACACTTTTCCCTTTCAGGTTCACGAACGGTCGAGCATGAATAATGTTCGCTTACAAGCATACACGTGCTTTCTTAGCAGTCAGCTTAAAGAAATCTAACTAAAGTAAATGACTCTATTGAAATAAGTGTAGGCACAACTAATATCATTGAAGTCTCATCGTTGAGTAATGTGACTTGAGCAAACAAAATAATGCGTATTAAACACTCGGCTATCTCAAGAGAACAATCTACACCTAGCTGCAAAACTAAGATGCAAAACGGTATTTCAAGGCCATGGCAATTATACCCCCATAATGGGTAATTTCGTTGCCATAGTTACTGTCAAACGAGGATTACTAGCATATTCATATTTAGAGCGTGGAATATTGGGGAAAAAACGGGGCCACCGGAGCATTATTCATGCTCGACCGTTCGTGAACCTGTGGGGGAAAAGTGTGACAAAATTATAACAGGCTGAAGGAGACTTCCTTGTAGGCGAATGTATCATCATACTAACCCATTCATGTGGTTTCCTTGACTCATCGCACATAATTATAATTCAATCATGTCGAATTAGAACAGACCATCTTCTACCAAGTCAAGGGCCATTCATATATCACCAAAAACGAAAACCATATAGTAATATTCCACAGACCAAGATTCTTGCAACACGATTGAGATTAATGAGGTCACATAATAAATGGTAGATTGCATATCTTGGCGGTTTGGAATGC